GGTGGTAGGGGGGAGGAGTTCACCCAAAGGCTTGGTATGCATGCATATTAAGCATAACCCAACGGACACATACACATCCCCCGGGAGAGTGATGGCATGGGGGGGGGGGTAATCAAGGGAAGGACACATATGTAATACCTTAATCAATAAAGAAAAAAAAGAATCAACCAATGAATACGTAAATAAGTAGAACAAATCAATGCTTCTCTCTCTCTCTCTCTCTCTCTCTCTCTTTCTCTCTCTCTCTCTCTTTCTCTCTCTCTCTCTCTCTCTCTCTCTCTCTCTCTCTCTCTCTCTCTCTCTCTCTCTCTCCATCTCCCCCACTCCTCTTCCCTCCTCAAATCAATTTTTTTAAAGAAGTAAGGATTTATTAAGAAGATGGTGCCATGCCCGGAGTAAATCATTAGTCATGGTGACTAATGGAGTTTGGGTCGTGGTTTCCACTGATGGGCTGGCACTAGGGTAGGGATAGTTGATCATTGCAACTGGTCCTAATGTCAGCTTTGGCATCGCTTTGTCTGGTTTCACGAGGATGCAGTCAGTGGGGTACTTCGGGAGCTGAAACACAACTAGCTGTTATCTCTAGTTTGACCAGAACTCTGAACCTGTGGTCAAAAGACCCAAGACTTTATTCCTAGGACTATTGGATGCTGACCAGAACCTCATGGTCCTGAGGGCTTAATGATTAATTAAGCAAGGAAGAGGGAGGTGGGTAAGTCTGGGTACTAGGTGAGGCCAGTTTGAGTCAAAGGAAAAAAAAATCAAAATAAAGGGCAGATGAAAGAAAATAAGGTTCCTGTGTGGTTACACTTTAAAATTCAAGGAATCAAAAATAATGTTCTATCTTCACAAGAAACCAGCAATTTATCCTTAAGGACTAAGATGCAGCAGGAAGCTGGATGCACAGACTAAGGCAAGATTTCACATGAGTTTTCTCATAGGAAAGGAATGGCAAGACTCACCACTCTGCAATAAAGACTAAAGAATCAGGGGATAAAAAACTCGGTTACCACCAAACAGTCAATGGGGTCCAGGGAGAACCTCTGGCTAAGAGTGATTACATCATCATGCTACCAATAACCCCTGCTGTGTCCTACAAATCAGTAAACATTCTGCAAGATTTAGTCATGTTTCCTATCTGGTAAATTACTCTAAAAAGGCTTATTTCAATCCTATGATCCCTAGAAATATTCCAATAACTCTTAAGAGCCACCTCTATTGGATGCTGACCAGAACCTCATGGTCCCGAGGGCTTAATGATTAATTAAGCAAGGAAGAGGGAGGTGGGTAAGTCTGGGTACTAGGTGAGGCCAGTTTGAGTCAAAGGAAAAAAAAATCAAAATAAAGGGCAGATAAAAATATTTGATGGATTAATTTCAAAGTTACCATTCTCATTTCACAATTGTGTTCCAAAAATATTCCATGGTAACACATGAAGGTTCTGATACTGTATCCCCTCTTCCTTTGTAGGAAACCAGACCCTTTAGGAACCATGCAACTACCACAGCCGGACGCAGAGCCGAGTCACACAGCACAGGTTTGGGGAAACCTAATCCTGCACATAACGGGGTTTAACGTAAGTCAAAACCACTTTTCCAAGGTGAGACAATGATCCCATTTGACAATACTAATCAAGATACAGAGCCAACATCTGCTAGACAACTAGGATATGACGTTCTCAGACACCTGACAAAAAAATCTTTAGAGAAACAACACAAGGTGCCCTCCCCCTCAATTGTAAAATAAGGCTATGACTTTCAGTAAGCATATGGCATATATTGTCTTTCTGATACTATGAACTTTTATACTCTAGTCACTATGACACTCTTTGGCTGCCACTGTTTTCTTTTAAATCTGAAAGTACAAAACAGTGAAATTATGACTAAAATTTTCAATATTTTCAAATTCTCTCTCAATTAGCATTAATGATATAAGTACATAGAAAGAAAGGGTAAAAAGTAAAAACATGGTAACAAATGACCCAAAAACAATTTGTACTAGAGGCCCGGTGCACGAATTCGTGCATGGGTGGGGTCCCTCGGCCTGGCCAGCGATTGGGGTCATTGGGGCTGTGAGAGGTTGGCCGGCTAGGGTGGGGCTGCGGGAGGTTGGCTGTGAGTGCGCACTGACCACCAGGGGGCAACTCCCGCATTGAGCATCTGCCCCCTGGTGGTCAGTGCACATCACAGCGACCGGTCACTCTGTCGCTTTCGCTTTTATATATAGAGATTTGGCTTTGCAATATTATAAAATTACCTGCTCGAGCACTTCTGGCGTCAGCTTTGAGAAATGGTGCTTTATAATTAAACTAGAGGCCTGGTGCATGAAATTCTGCACGGGAGTGGGGGTCCCTCAGCCTGGCCTGCACCCTCTCCAATCCGGGACCCCTCAGGGGATGTCCAACTGCCTCTCACAATCTGGGACCGCTGGCTCCTAACCACTCGCCTGCCTGCCTGCCTGATTGCCCCTAACCCCCCTGCCTGCCTGATCACCCCTAACTGCTCCCCTGTTGGCCTGATCGCCCCTAACCACCTCTGCCTCACCCCACACTCGGGACCTAGGATTCCCTCCTCTGGCCAGTCACAGGCACCTGGGACCCGGGCTTCCCTCCCTCTGACCAACTGCAGACACCCAGGACCCAGGCCGGCTTTGCCTAGGCCGGCCGCAGGCGCCCAGGACTGCGGGGCGGGCGGCTTGTCCCACTCCCAGGCTGCAGCCTGGCTGGTCCCCATTCCTTTCTCATGAGCTCATTTGTGCCTGGCTGGTCCCCATTCCTCTCTTCCCAGTGTTGAGTGTCTGAGCCATTATGGCGTGAGGGCATGACGACCAGTTGCATATTGGCTCTTTATTATAGAGGATGCTATACCTGTATAAATATGGTTTGTTTCTCCATAGTACATGGACCTGTGTGTGAGTGATCTTTAGTACAAAAAAACACCAGGCTTGCAACATTACAGTTGTTCTCCCTATAATTTGTTGGAAGTCAAGGAGTGTAACTCCTGAGAGTGGATAAGGAAGACAAATGAAGAGGCAGACAGAAAACCCACAAGAGAATGACACATATTTCAACCCACCACATTAACATTAGGGCTAATCAGCTTCCATTACCATGCCAAAGATTAGCTTCCGTTTTCCTACTGCTACACGGATCCTAATTCCAGATGTCAGGATCAGAGGGAAAGACATAGCCCAACTTCCCCTTAACCTGGATGTGACAAGCAGCATCCTCTCCAAGCATCATCGTGCACTAACCATCCACCACTCTGTGCTAGGAACAGGCAGGAAGAGGCTGGAGGTTGTGGGAAAGGTGAGAAAGGGTAACTTTGTGCCTTGGGCTCCGTGGAGATCCACTATGAGCTCAACTGGCACATCCCTGCTCAACCCACAGCTGAACTGGCAACAGCAAAAAGATGCTCCCATGTATGGCCCATTCTGTGCCAGCTACAATGCGGTGGTGTTCTTGAAGCCCTAGGTCTATAAATCTGGGACATGTAATCAGAAGCCCATCAATTACAGATTCAAATTTAGACCAAACTGATAAGATCTTGATAATGTACTTAATAAATCTGGGAAATGTTTACCTATTATTTACATTGACTTTAAAACCATTTCTTGAACCCACCACATACCGAAAGGGCATCATAACCTACCTCCATTGGTCCTATTTGGTTGCTGATCTGGAGTTTGGGCTTGAGGTGAATAACACTGTTGCTGCTGGTAACTATTTGAAGGGAAATACTGGGAACTGGGGCTCCTCCTACATTCCCGAATGCTGGAGAAAGTCTGTGAATGGGGGATTCCTCTTTGGAAGGGTGAACATCTTGGAAGACGGGGCTGAGGTGGTGGCAAATGGTCAAATTCTTCCTCATCCTCTAAACTGAATCGATCATATTCTTGATCACTACATGTCCCTTTCTTTCCTGAACTCAATGACACACTGGAACTGTGTCTTGACACGGATGCTGACGTGGAAGCATAATCTTGCCTGAGACCTAAAAAATAATAAGAAATAGTATTATCATTAGACACATTTCAATCTAGCAAAAATTAAGTTCAAATATTAGAGGAAATTTTGTGCCAAATGATTCAGAGACCCATTATCGTGTTCTTAGTTTATTAAAATATTAGACTATTCTGTTTTGCAAAAAGATTGCCACAATTGCAGTGAAAATTAAATATAGTACCTACTGCTATAATTTATCAATCAATGTCTGGCAATTTCCCCAAATGATCCCTGCTGAGCTCCAGAGATACGTACTTAGGAAGGCTGCTTAGGAAATAGTATTCATCATCATTATAAATTGTTTGCTATGAGTTAGGCCATTAATCAAATCTCTGCCCAAGCAGGAACTCCTCCTGCTCCCCACTCCAATTCTCAAACCAGCGCAAAGTTCAAAATCTGTGGTACACGTATGTATTTTCTAACAAGGCCGCCTCTTTCATTCTTTTTATTCTTTTTCAAAGCATAGTGACATTTCAATATCGCAATGGTTTGGGGTCATCCTAAATGATAACTACCTAAAAATAGTAAACTTAAGTTTCTAGTTATTCATCTCATTGCCAAGACCACAATTTTTTTTAAAGCAGTCTATCCTTAACTACTTAACATCTGAAAACTGACATCTAATCTTTTAGCCATATAGATGTAGAGTTAGTGTTAGTTTACTGTTACTGAATAATGACCAAAAATAATCACTTTTCCGTCAACATGTATCTTATTAAATTCTGCATGAGCATTACCATGTTTCTTATAGTAGCCTTGACTAATTCTGAAACCAGGAAATAGTTACGCTTAAATGATAGTTGGCTGTTTCTACTTATGTTGACCTGAAAAGATAACTGCAAAACAAGCCTAGCCAGGTTCTGTGATCTACATTGTATTGTGCCTTTTTCTGCCATAAATGTCCTTGAAGCATTCACTCCCAGATTATTTATTGTAACTTTATTGCAGAACCAGGGATAAACTGTCCCATTTCCAATGATCTTCTCTTCCATAATTATTCTGAAAAGTATACCAATGCATTTAACTGATTTTTTTTATTGATAACTATAGACTCACATGAAGTTCTAAAGAAATAAGACAGGGTTCTCTTGTGCACTTTGCCCAGTTCTCCCAATGATAACATTTTGCAAAATTACAGAATAACATGATGACCAGAACACTGGCAGTGACACAAAGCCATCTTAGGTGTTTCCGGGTCTACTCATGCATGCTTGTATGTGTTAGTATTAAGTTTTCTACATTTTACTACCTGTAGGATCAGTGTCTACCACCAGTGTCAAAATACTGAACAAACAGTTCCAAAACCCCCAGAAATACCTTGTGTTGCCCTTTATACCACATCCACCTTCCTCCTGAGGACCAACACCGTACCCCTAACCCTAGTGACCCACAAAACTGCCCACTTTTAAGATTTTTGTCAACCCAAAATGTCATATAAATGGAACTATCCTATTTAATAAAAGAGAAACATGGTAATTAGCCGTACCTCCGCTACCCTTCCCATTGGCTAATCAGGGTGATATGCAAATTAACTGCCAACCAAGATGGCGGCCGGAAGCCAGGCAGCTGACGCGAACAGGGAGGCTTGCTTGCTTCAGTGACGGAGGAAGCCAAGCTTCCCCGCCTGCCTTGCCGGCCTCTGAGCGGAAACTCTAAGAAACATTGTAACAAATATAGAAGCTAAACCAAACCCCAGAAACCTGCTTTAGTCAGCCAGGCTTCAGCCAGCAGGACCGCAACATTGTTTCAAATACAGAAGGTAAACAAAGGCCAGAAACCTGCTTTCAGCAGCCGAGGCCTCAGAGCTGGAGCCAGCCTCAGAGCTAAAGCTGGCCCAGAATAAAAAAAAGAAAAGAAAAAAAGGACAGGTTGGGAGCTTCAGTCACCTGCCAGCCTGAAAACGGCCCTCAGCCCCTCACCCAGCCTGGCCAGGCACCCCAGTGGGGACCCCCAACCTGATCCAGGACACCCTTCAGGGCAAACCAGCCGGCCCCCACCATGCACCAGGCCTCTATCCTATATAGTAAAAGGGTAATATGCCTCCCAGCACCGGGATCAGCGGAGCCGCAAGGCCTCCCGGCACCGGGATCAGCATGACAGGGGGCAGCGCCAAAACCCCCTGATCACCCTGAGGCTCTGTGAGTGACAGAGGGCGGGGCCACAACCTCCCTATCTGCCCTGTTCTGTTCGTGACAGGGGAAGGCACCCCAACCCCTGATCAGCCCTGCTCTGTGCCTGATAGGGGGGAGCTCCCCAACCCCAATGATCACCCTGTGGCTCTGTGTGTGACGGGGTGGAGCCACTCCCGGCGGCCATCAGCCCTGCCCTGAGTGTGACAGGGGGGAGTGCCCCAACCCCCTGATAGCCCTGCTTTGTGCCTGATAGGGGGGAGCTCCCCAAACCCCTGATCGCCCTGCTGTGTGTGTGACAGGGGGCGGTGCCCCAACTCCTCTATCGGCCCTACTCTGTGAGTGACAGGGGGAAGCTCCTCAACCCCCTGATCCGCCCTGATCTGTGCGTGACAGGGGGGAGCTCCCCAACCCCCTGATCGGCCCTGCTCTGTGTGTGACAGGGTACGGAGCCCCAACCCCCCTGATGGGCCCTGCTCTGTGCATGACAGGGGGCAGCGCCCAAACCCCCGGATCCACCCTGCTCTGTATGTGACAAGGGGCGGTGCCCCAACTCCCTATTGGCCCTACTCTGTGAGTGACAGGGGGGAGCTCCTCAAGCCCCTGATCGGCCCTGCTCTGTGTGTGACAGGGTATGGAACCCCAACCCCCTTGATGGGCCCTGCTCTGTGCATGACAGGGGGCAGCACCCCAACCCCCTGATTGGCCCTGCTCTGTGCGTGACAGGGGGTGGTGCCGCAACCTCCCTATCGACCCTGCCTTGAGTGTGACAGGGGGCGGTGCCCCAACCCCCCAATCGGCCCTACCCTGAGCGTGACTGAGGGTGGCATCGCACCTCCCGATCCGCCCTGCTCTGTGCATGACAGGGGGCGGCGCCCCAACTTCCCAATCGGCCCTGCTCTGAGCCCGACCAGGGCTGCACCTAGGGATTGGGCCTGCCCTCTGACACCCGGGAGCAGGCCTAAGTCAGCAGGTCGTTATCTCCTGAGGGGTCCCAGACTGCGAGAGGGCACAGGCTGGGCTGGGGGACCCCCCCCCCTCCCCTCGAGTGCACAAATTTTTGTGCACCGGGCGTCTAGTATAAATATAAAAGCCAAGCGACCGGAATGACCCGAACAACCGGTTGCTATGACGCACACTGCGGGGCCAGCCAGCCAACCTCCCACATCCCCTCCCCCCTGCCAGCCTGGCCCAATCAGCTCCCATCAGGGCAGGCTGGCCAGACTCCACCCATGCACAAATTTGTGCACCAGGCCTCTAGTCCTATCTAATAAAGAGGGAATATGCTAATTGACCCTCATGCCATTGCAAAGAAGGCGGCGTCCACAGCCAATAAGGAGGGAATATGCTAACTGATTGCCCCACCCTCAAAATGGCAGTGCCCACAGCCAATAAGGAGGGAATATGCTAATTAACTGTCCCTCCCTCAAAGATGGTAGCGCCCACAGCCAATAAGGAGGGAGTATGCTGACTGCCACGCCCTCAAAGATGGCGGCGCCCAGTCTCCTCAGCCCCGCCGGGGTGCCTGTCTCTAGAGTCCCCCAGTCCCCTCAGCACCCCAGCCGCCCAGAGCCGGCCCGAGGCTCAGGTAACCAGGACCGGCTGAGGCTTGTGATGACGGCAGTGACAGCAGCAGAGGTGTGATGGGGTATTGCCTTCCCCTGATCGCTGGGTCGCCTCTTGCCCCTGAGGGCTCCCAGACTGTGAGAGGGGGCAGGCCGGTCTGAGGAATCCCCCTCCTCCAGTGCATGAATTTTCATGCACTGGGCCTCTAGTATAGCATACAACCTCTTGGGATGATCTTTTTTTCACTGAGTATAATTCCCTGTAGATTGATCCATGAGAGTGCATGAATCTATGGTTCATTCCTTTTTATTGGTGAATATTGCTCCAGGACATGCAGGTACCACTGTCTGATTAACAATTCCCCTACTGAGACATCTCAGTTCATTCCAGGTTTTGGCTTTTACAAACAGCTACTGCGAATGTTCAGTACAGGTTTTTGTGTGAACACAAATTCCCACTGCTCTGTGATAAACGCCCAGAGTGAAACATGCTGGGCCTTGTGGAAATCATGGGTTTGATTTTAAAGAAACTGTCAAACTGTTTCCACAGTGGCCATCCTAGCAACGGTCTTTGTGTCAGTGCATTTTGATCAGAACATGTCCTAACACCTTACGATGCTCATGAGAATGTGAGAAGCATTAACTGCTCCACCTACAAAGCAGGACAGAGTATGAGAGAAAGGACCTAAGTGTGTGCCCATTACTGGGAAAAAATACCTGAAAACTCCCCATGCCCTCACAGTTCTAGTAGAAGCCCCTAGTTTAAAAATGTGTTCTGGTCTAAAAAAAACCAAACAGACGTACTTTCTTCTTGCAGACGAGCCATGATCTGCACGTCAGTGAGGTCCTGTAGCTTGTACCCCATGGAGATGGAGTCGTCCTCCAGTTCTGAAGTGCTCAGCTCACTGTCTATAGACGACTGGGGACTGAGAGGGGAGCCCCTGGAGGTGTAACCTAAAAACAAAGCATGTAGGTTTATTGTTTAGACTAAAGAACTGATATCTATTTATGCTTTATAATTCATGTTATCAACAATCGCCAGTTTCTGCCCTGTTTTCATGTCACCAAAAAGCGACCAATACAAACTGTAAAGAAGAGAGATCTCCTGTTGTTGTTTTTTTACCATAATAACAAAAGAAATCACTAATGCCATTAGATAAGCATATATCTAAATGCATTGTATAAGTACATGTCCATGTTCACTTTAATTAATAATCAGATATGCTTCTCTCAGTAGTAATTATATTTTAAAATTAAAATTTAATCCAGTCCATTTTTTAAACAGTTACAAACAATAGTGTTACAAATAAGTAAGGAAATCACATATAAAAAGCACACATACATACACAGAAACATTTACAAAACCTGTGAAACTGAGTGTAGAGCAGTCAGGAGACTGGCAGACACTCATGAGAGTGAAAAAGCAACGGCTCGAGATAAGAGAACAAGGAAGATAGGACCCACGGGGAGAAAGCTGCAGGAGTGGAATCTTCATCTCATAAAGAGCAACTATGTCTATTTTCTATGTAGCCCTGGCTGCATAAAAAGCTACAATGAAAAGCTAAAATAATTTAAAAGAACAAGATATAAATTCTTCTATTTTTGAATCTTAATAAAAAGCACTAAATTGTTTGACATTTCATTTTAAAAGCACACTGGGCACTTGGAAACACATTAACTATATACACATATTGTTGACAACAAGGGCAGACCGCCGACCACACACAACTGAGAGCAGATTAATGGTGTTAAAGTACAAATTAACATTAGCCTATTTCATATCCAAGGTAAGTGTGCAAAAAAACTCTCCATGTGATAAGATTACTCTCAAGCTTTTCAAGATGGATATTTAAGCTGTGTTTAGTAACTAAACGACAAGAAAGCAAGCAGCTAGTCGAGAAGTTGAAACATTACCTGTTCTTTCAGGTGTTAGTATTGCTTTATTTGAGGTTTTAGAGAAGCTGGGAGTATTAATGCCATTGCTATAAGGGCTGAGTCTTGCAACAGGACTATAAGGAAAAGCCAGGGAGACATTTGAAGAGAAGAGACTCCGCCATCGGCTGGCTGTCACAGAAGCAGAAATAAAGAGCAGCAGTTAGCAACATGGAAGCAGAATATGACTTGTCAGAGGAAGGAAAGGAAGCGGTTAAAAAAAAAAAGAAAAGACAAAAAAGCAACTTTTCATCAGAATAAGTTAACTGACTTCTATTTACCTAAGGGAAAAGTATGTTTTTAAAAAAGGCAATTTGTGAATGAAGGTCATATGTATACCTCCTTTAAGAAGCAGTAAATCAGTCTCACCTTGATTAAAGCCAACATGCCCATATATTAAGGAAAATTTGTTTTGAAAAACTCAAAAAAACTTACCATCTTTACAAACTGTGGGAAATGTTCTTAATATTAGCCATACACAGTCTTATGTTCTTCCTAAGGTTAATTTTTCAACCCATTTAGTATCAGAAAATATTGATAACATTTTTTATAAAACTTAGTAAATTATGGAAGAAACTTGAAGTGACTCTTGTGTTTCTGAATGGCCTCGAGTCCAAACAAGACTTTTGCCAAAGTGATACAAAAATCACAGGAGGGTACAGATAGCAAAATTTAATGGCTGCTAGTTTTGATGGCAAGTATAGAGACTAATTGGTGATCTATTGGATTTTTCCTTTTTATAAAAATATTTCCCAAATTTCCATATTGAACATATACTATTCCTATAACATCTAAAGGTAGAATTATACATATTACTTTCATACTATAAAATAAGGAACAAAAAAGAATTTTACCTGTAATGGTTAGATAATCTAATGTTTACATTAACTCCCCTGGCTAATTAGTGTGTTTCCCTCCTCCAAAATTACCAAGCCCTTGTTACTTTCTAAGTGCTTGGGATCATGAAAAAGACCCCAAACTGTAAGTCACATGAAACATCACTTCTTCTCCCTTCAAGGAATACAAATTACTGCACTAGTCAAAATCCACTTTCCTAAAAAGTAACCATTTAGGCATGTACACAAGCAAGATGAGAAAAATAAATAAAAAGTACAAATTTGGTTAAACTTCACCTTTAGGCAATAAATAGGTTTATATTTTCTGGAAATTTGACAAAATTTGAAAAACGTACAAAAAGGACTGTTTTGAAATGTGTTCCCCAAATCACTTTTAATAAGCAATGCTAATGAGCAAACAGTTGGCAAGTATTTAAAAATGGGCATCGGGGTAGAAAGATAGAAACCATGGGAAGTAGTTTGTCAAGCAAATAATCAGCTCCAAAATTGGGATTTTTAAGACCCTAGGTTATTTTTTAAAACGCAAAATGTTTCCTTTTATTTCAGCATTTCAGTAAGCACTGTTGAGATTTAAATACCATCCCTTTACAACAACTACATAAAAAAATATCTTTTCCTCACGTAGGTGAAAGAACTAGGCAAGAAAGTGTCTACATTCACTGTGATTATGCTTTCAGAATTTGTAAGTTTCATGGGGGGGGGGGGGGGGATACTCCGTGAAGCCCAGTTCCTAATTGACACCAATCATGTCACGTATCCAACATGTAATTAACTGTGGTTAAGCTGAGCCAGAGCAGAGATGTGTGGAGTGGGCCACTCCCAGCTCCTTACCTTCTGGGTATGTAAACTTGATCCCAAAATACACTGAAAAATAGGGGTTAATATGCAACACACACGTGGTAGCTGTTCTCACAGCTTCAATCTCCATTACTCGAAGTTTCTCATTAAAAATTCTATGTTAAAAGGAATCAATAGTTCTTTGTGACTGCTAACTTGCTGAACAGATAATGTTATTTTATACCAGTCTGATCACTCGCCAGGCAAATTACAGTGACCGCGTGTTGTCACCCACAGATGCAGACAAATTCGCATGCCAAGTAAACAGCATTCATCGCTCTGCACAGTAACCACTGTGACCAGCCTCCCAGCACAATGGCACAATGATTGTGACTATGACAGCAAGAGCCCAACCAAGCACACAATTAGCATCTATTGCAAGAGAGAATGCTGCGCATTGTCCCTTGGCATGGAGGCTTTTAAGAAGAGGGAGGAGCATTACTGTGGAGGCAAGCTAAGAAAGCAACCATGCTACATTAGTGCCAAGGTTGCGGCGGAGGAGAGGAGAAGGAAGTGGAAACCTGCACATCCTACTTATTCTTTGTGTAGCGGAAGAATTGTAACAGGAAGCATTTTTACAGAAAATAAAACAAAAAGAACTTTTCACAGGGCAATTTTGTTTTTCAACAAATTAATTTAATGTGTTTTTTATATATATAAGGGCATTAAACTTTTTGAGAGGTCCAATGATGATCAAAATTATCCTACGAAAGACTAAAAGAGAAAATGGGTGATAAACTTCTGAACAGCAGTATTTTCCTGGACTCCTACACCAAAGTTCTAGCTATGAGTAAAGGGCTTCTCATACTTGGAGGGGGCATGAGTATGTATTTTTCATTTAATTGCAACCCCTGGAATAGCAGAGAGGTGGGCCCAAACATAAGGATATAAATTTCATACCACACATGGCAAGGTTTTCTTTCCCAAATGCCTTGTTAAACTGCCTCTCAGAACACTGCTTTCTCTGCATTGTACTGCAACTTCCCGAAGACTCTCACCACCTCTCACCAGTTACTGCAACCTGTTCCTCAATGAACTCTCAGCCACAGCACTGCCCTCACCAAGACTGTCTGAACATCACTACCAAAGCTGTGCTAGTCATATATTATTTTTTTAATTCTTTATTGCTGATGTATTACAGATGTCCCTCTTTCCCTCTCTCATTGCCCATCCACCTGGCTCCTGTCCCACCCCAGGCCTTCACCACACTATTGTCTGTGGCCATGGGCTATGCAGATAAGTTCTTTGGTTAATCTCTTCCGGCCCTCCCTCCTCCTTTCCCTCTGAGATTTGTCAGTCTCATCCATGTTTCCATCTCTGGTTTATTTTGTTCATCATTTTATTTTGTTCATTAGATCCCACATATAAGTGAGGTCATGTGATGCTTGTCTTTCTCTGCCTGGTTTATTTCACTTAGCATAATACTCTCCAGGTTCCTCCATGCTGCCTCAAAGAGTAAGAGATCCTTCTTTTGTACAGCTGCATAGTATTCCATTGTGTAAGTGTACATATCTTTTTTATCCACTCACCCACTGATGGGCACTTGGATTGTTTCCAGATCTTCGCTATTGTAAATAACACTGCTATGAACATAGGGGTGCATATATTCTTTCTGACTGGTGTTTCAGATTCTATTCTTTTAACTCCTACTTTCTTCCATTAAGTACTGCAGTGGCTTTTCATCAAATACAAGCTTTTAAAGGTACTCACTGGCACTCTTATCTATTGCCATGTATTCCATGTCCACCTTTAGAGTGTTTCTGAAACATACTCATATATGCATAACCCATGGACACAGACAATAGGGTAGTGAAGGCCTGGGTGGGAAGGGGGGTGGCTAGAAAAGGTCAATGGTGGGAAAAGGGGACATATGTAATACTTTCAACAATAAATATTTAAAATGAAAAGTTCAAAAGATGTAAAAATAATAATTATATACTAGTAGTTTAAGCTTTCTAACTTTGTCTCCCTTGCCTAATGAGCATTTCCTATTAAGATAAATGTTGTAAATTACTAAGTTGTACAATTGTTAAGATTTTGAACATATTCAACATTTATTGATTGTATACTGTGTGCCAGACATTGTGTCCATTAGGTACTGAACTAGCTGTTTGTACTATGAGAAGAAAAAATGAAAACAACTGACTCTAGAACATGTTAGAATGTTGCTTTATTTTTAACTCTTTTAGGTTGATGTAATACTGACCTTTTGATAAGATTTTCATTTCAATCAGTTATTTTTCCTTGTACTTGTATTATCTACTGCTTTCTTAAGTTTGATTTTGAGTACCTGCAGGGACTACACAACAAAAACTTGAATATTTATTA